ACACTTAACTCAAATTTAACCCTTGAATCGAATCAAGTTAGCCTTCCCCAAAGATAGGCGTAGCCCATCCAATGGACTATGAGGTAAGAGCTTGGGAGAAGAAAAGAATTTATTAGTTTGCAAGATAGTGTTACAAGTACACGTACATAGCCCCTCTATGCACTTCCTCACGAGGCAACTCAAGGTTTGCCCCAACCACCTCCTGTAGGTCAAGGTTCTAGAACACTCCCAAAACATCCTCATATGTAGAATTTTAAAAGTCTCTCCAAGTTTCCCTCCTTAGCCTAGCCTACATAATAATTCTAGAACCATCTACCTAGAACTATGTATAAAGGCCTAGCATCTTCTAGACATGGGTTTGGTCCAATCAGCCCAACTAAGCCACCGTTTTTTAGAGAATTTTCAATTTTGAATAACACTAGATTGTGTTGTTCCTCGTAAAATAAATAGGAAAAAGAAGATAGAGAAAAATTAGTAAAAAACAATTAATTAAAGATGAAAAGTAGAAGAATATCATTGAAGGTATGAAGAGCTTGAGTTAAGGAGTGGATCAATCATTTTCTTTAAAATGTTTTGTGGCATTGGTGCAATAGTTTTTTATGATCATGTCACCTCCAAGATACAACAGCCTAATTTTTTCTCGTTATATTTTTACAAGTATTGCACTATTATAAAGAAAACTTTACCCCACTACCTTTTACTTGCCCAAGAGAGTTTGAACACTATGTTTGTGGAATAAAAGTGTAGATTATGAAAAATTGTATCAGTCATTGAAAGAAATGGAGGCACCTATTTATAAGTCTTCACAATTTACATAACTGGAAAAATAAAATGTAAGACTGTTACAATTTAAAATAAAGTTTGTCAATTATAAAACTAAAATTGACAAGTAATTCTTAAATCTTACCGGTTACAAAGACAAAAAAATATTATATACATTTTTTGAAAAACAAAATAATGTAAAACAATAAATTACAACATAATGTTGCAGATTATGAAATAATATTGCTGGTTATAACATTTGAATATGATTTTTTTCCTAAAGAAAGGAATGCACAAATCCATTTTGAAAAACAGAAACACATAGATTTATGAGTTTTTACATTTCTATTTTTTAATTAAAATCTATAATCCATTGGTAAGGCACGTCTTGAGAATGTTCTAGGACCCTCCCCACGCACGCAAAGGTGTTGACACCACGACTTTCCATTACAGTACTGGTGTTGACACCTCGGACTCCAGTCCCTAAACTGACGCCCCGTAACAGTTAGCTCCTTTGTTTTCCAGGACTGTGTGACTCTTCTATTACATGAGGGTCTTTTCTTTCTACAATTATCACCGCTTTCTTTTCCGTTTTAAGCAGGGCAAGACTCTTCGGACCCACTTAAACATGCTGGACCCGCCCGGTTAATTAATGAATTAATTTCTTCTCCAATTTTCGCCGCCAGATCCGGAAGACGCTCTGGACTTTGGACAGGCTACAGCTTTTCAAGCCCAACCGCTCATCCTATAACGTAAAAGGTTAAATCACTTATTTGGTTTCTTAAAATTTTTTAAAAAATTATCAATAATTTAAATAATTTAGTAGTTATTTTTTTTTATTGAAATAAGAGATTCTAACTTTGAGTCATGTGGTGTGCAGATGGAGTAGAATAAGGAATGAGAGATAATTACTTTTTTTTTTATGTAAGTAAAATAAAAAAAAAACTTTTCTAAAAATTATTGTAAGTGGCTATTCACTTTTGGGTAGTCCGGTGCTTAGTATTCTTAACTTTTGGGTTAAGGAATTTGTGACACAATAAAAGCTTAGGTGGTGGTATAAAGATAATTTTTTTATATCATATTTTAATATAAAATTTACATGTTATTAAATGAATTGATGTATTTGAGTTTTACATGAATTAAAAAAAAATTAATCATTTAAATGACATGTTAAATTATATCAAAAAAATAATATTAAAAAAATTACCTCAAAATTATTTTTCTAAAAACATTTATTATTAATTTTTAACAAAATTAATTACTGGATACCATTTGACCCATGGTTGGGAACTAATGATTGGCTATATCTACAAAGGTTTTGAATTTTTTTCATAATGATTTGATTATATTTGTTCTTGTTTCAAACCTTTTGGTCCTTATAGATACTTTTTTTAAAATATTGGAAAGTAAATTTATAATTAATTTTAATTCATTTTTATGTTTTTGAGATAAAATTTTATATAAGATTTAAATATAATATAATATAATATAATATTTTACCTTAAAATCTATAAAAAGTAAAGAATTTAATATAAAAATTTATGTAAAATTAATTAAAGATACCCTAATTAATGAAAAGGGCACATAG